TTTCATCAAACTGAAAGGAAAACTGAAAACCTTCCTTGGTTTGTATGAGCCCTTGCCCTACCCACTCATGATTTTTTTTTTGTCTCATTTTTTAAGAGAGAACTCAAATGCTGCTTACCAACTGCCTGTCTGAAGGAGACATTCTGGAAACACTGTGGCAAAACCCCTCTGCAACAGAAACAGCATAGAACACCTCTCTCTTGAATGGCACAGTCTCGTCACAGTACCAAAGTATACCACAACTATAGGCTGTTCACCCACACTCTCCATTATGTCCTGTCACTGATCCAAGACATCCTTGACCCTCGTGTCTGAGAGGCAACATGTCATCCTGGAGTCTCATTTGTGGCCACACAAACAGGTATTTATCGCCTTTACAATTGAATTCCCTTATTATAGTCTTCCCGTATTTATTCCTCCTTTCCCATGTAGCACAGGCAACAGTGGCTATTTGGCTATTTGATGAAGGGTCTAGGCCCGAAACGTCAGCCTTTCTGCTCCTATGATGCTGCTTGGCCTGCTGTGTTCATCCAGCTCTGCACCTTGTTGTCTCGGATTCTCCAGCATCTGCAGTTCCTACTACCTCTATTTGGCTATTACTACTTTTCTCCGAGAGGCAATTTGCCCCAAGATTATTCAAAACAATACATCTGTTTTGCAGAGGAATGACCACAGGGAACTCTTGCACTAGTCTGCCTCATCTACTTTCTTTGCCTGATGGTCATCCATTCCCTCCCTGCCTGTGGAGTGACTGCAGTCTCGTAGATGCTCCACGGTGTCCCAGCAACTGCACTAGCTCTAAAATGCAGGCTTTCAGGAGCTGCAGCTGGAGCCACTTCCTATAAACATTCTGATCCCAGGCACTAGATCTGTACTTGACTTTCCACATAGAAGAGAATAAACATACCCCTGCCTCCTTCCATGACTTGCCCTTCTAAATTAAACACTTTATTACCCTAAAATCAAATAATACTAATTACACTATAGCCCTTCTTCCCTGGACCACAGCACTATTGCCCCAACAAACTATAAGCCAAAATAAATAAACTTTCTTGCGTACTGTGGGGATTGGAGGAGAGGGATGGAGAGATACTCGTTATGCTGCCATATTACAATCATCTACAGTACGTGTGGCAAAGGCTTAAACAACTTATATCTGAATCAAGGCAAAATTGTGCAAGATCCATGTACAGACATCCCAGTGGCCTTCTGTCCATGGGTCTCTATGTTCCAATGTTTGGAAGATGTTATTCTAATGTTAATTGTGTGTGCTGCGACTGCTGAATGAAAACATCACTAAAAAAAGTGTTTTGTCTCGGATATTGCCCACATAAGCTCAATGAAGCCGCTCCTCATAGATCCAAGCACTAAGCTGCAGTTGTCCCTGTGATGCTTCTAACCGTAGGTGCCCTCGTGATGCGACAAATATACAGGACAGCCCCAACTTACACAAAATGCCAAGCAGATGACAGAGGAGTACCAACATCATACTCTATCCAGAGGTGGCAGCCAAAATGCCTTATCATGCAGTCCAGAACATATACAATGCAACACCTTCCACCACAGGGGCCAACAAATGCCACAGGATAGCTCCTCCATATCAAGTTTCCATGCTGGTCATGTCTGGGGCTTCATATCAGCGTCGAGCACACAGACAACATGGTTTAATCTTGGAATTGCTGCTTCAGAAAACTCAAGGGTGCACCAAGACTATGTAATAGGCAATAAAGATCTATTAGAACCACTGAATTGTGTTGAGTAAATACATGAAGATGCTCCTCAAGTGAAACCAATACCTTCAAGCATCCCACAGCGCAGAAGCTTCAGCCAAAGCAACCTACACAGGACTTCCTGTAAACCTCATTCAACAGAACAGTGTAAAGTTATCTTTCACAGAATATAAGTGTTTGATGTTGCTGAACCATTAGCCCTTGTATAATCCTAACAACAAGTGCATCCTAATGGTTTTATCATTTAAGGTTCTTGAGTAGATTTGTAGCTCGGGTTGTGGATGTTGTGGTTGATTCGCTCATGAGCTGGTTCGTTAGTTCGCAGACGGTTCATTACCCTGCTGGGTAACTGACCCTCTGACACTGCCCACTCCCTCAGCACTGACCCTCAGACAGTGCGGCACTCCCTCAGCACTGATGGGTAACATCATCAGTGCAGTCTCCGATGAAGCGCTGTTGTGTTTTCCCACCTGATATTTAAACTCTGGGGTCCGTTGGAATTACCTCATTTCCGGTTTTTCTTCACAGTGGTGTATATATAGGGTCTAATTCTACACATTTAATGATAGCCTTCTTGGTGGAGAACCAGGCCTCTAGAAATTCCCATGTTTGTCTCTGTTTGGCCTGTCCTAGGATCCTGATGTCCCAATCGAACTGGTGGTTCTCCTTATCTGTGTGAATGGAAATGAGTGAGTATTGGTTGTGTCTTTTTGTTGCTAGTTGGTGTTCATGTATCCAAGTGGCCAGTTTCCTTCCTGTTTGTCCAATTTAATGTTTGTCGCAGTCCTTGCATATCTTGTATCTCGTATATCATGTTGGTTCTGTCCATAGTGGGTAAGGGGTATTTGGATCAAGTTAGCAGTTGGCATAGGGTTGACATAGGTTTGTGTGCCACTCTGATGCCCAATGGTCATAGGAGTCTTGTGGTCAGTTCAGATATGTTCTTGATGTATGGTAACGTGACGAGTCTGTCAGAGCGTACTGTATCTTCCTGTTGTTGTTTGTGTGATAGGCATTGTTGGACCCAGCTATTCGGGTATCCGTTGTCCTTAAGCACTTGGTAGAGGTATTCTTCTTTGTTTTAGGGTAGTTCTGGGTTGCTGCAGTGAGTTGGTGCTCGTTTAAATAGTGTTTTCACGCAACTTTGTTTGTGGGTGTTGGGGTGGTTACTGTTGAAATTCAGGACTTGATCCGTGTGTGTGGCCTTTCTGTGTACCTTTGGCAGAAATTCCCCGTTGGCCCTGTATTCTACCATCACGTCTAGGAATGGGAGCTGTTCATTGTTTTCTTCCTCCCTGGTGAATTTGATACCGGTGAGAGTGTTGTTTATTAGTTGGTGTATCTCCTCTAGTTTAGTCCATTTGTTGATGACGAAAGTGTCACCCACAAATCAGATCCATAGTTTAGGCTGGATCTGCAAAAGGGCCATGCTTTCAAGTCTCTGCATCACCACTTCTGCCATTAGTCCAGAGATAGGTGACCCCATGGGTGTCCCGTTGATTTGTTCATAGATTTGGCCATTAAAGGTAAAGTGGGTTGTGAGGCATAGGTCCAATAACTTCAGCAATTTGTCTGTGGAGATGGTGTCACTCGGGTCTCGTTCTTTTAGAAGCGTTGCTCATGTTTCTCTTGCAGTGGTATGTCAAGTAATGTGAATAGGTCAGTAACGTCAAAGAAAACCATGGTCTCGTCCTCGTCTATTTATGTCTTTGAGGGATTTGAGGAATTCCTGGGCTGAGTGGATTGACTTGCTGAGGAGGTGCTTTAGTCTTTGTCGTAATTCCTTGGATAACCTGTGTGTCGGTGTGCCTGGGAGGGATACTATGGATCCGAGGGGTACTTTTGGTTTGTGTACCTTTGAAAGGCCATAGAATCAAGGGTGTTTGTCCCTTCGGGTTTCATTTTTAGGTAGTCTGCTTTGTTGATTTGTCCAGTCTGTTTGAATATCTTTAGTGTGTTGAATATTTTACTACTCAGTTGCAGGGTCGGGTCTATTTGCACTTGCTGGTATGTATTCGTGTCTGCTCGTAGCATCTGTGCTTTAGTGAGGTAGTCCCGTTTCTTTTGTGTTACTGTCATGCGCCCTTTGAACGCTCGTAGGCTTATGATGTTTTTGTCTTTTTTCAGTCCTTCTAGGGCGTTCTTTTCTGATGTGTTAAGGGCGTTAAGTTCATTCCTTATGGTCAGTGTTGGGACCACTGTCTGTCTTACGGCTTGTTGTGTTTCCTCATTGATGCCGTTGGTCTTCAGTGTGGATTCTAGTGTGGCTAGGAACTCTGTTCTGTTAGCATCTCCGTGGTTGTAGCTGAGTCCACGTATTAGAACAGCTTTCTCTGTGTCTGTTAGTTTCCTGTCTGAAAGGTTTCTTATCCAAGTGTCTGATCATTGGTTGTCATTTTGGTGAGTTAGTTTGGCTAGTTTTTCTTGTAGGATCTGTCTTTTCTTGGTTCTTCTTATTTGTTGACTGATGTTAATGGCTTGTTCTAAGTCTGCTGTCCACTCTAGGTTTTTTGGCACGTAATTTTCTGTCATATCGGTGGTGCCGGCTGTCAACTCCAATGGATCCCAGAGTTTAAATATCAGACGGGAAAACACAACAGCACTTCATCAGAGACTGCACTGAAGATGTTACCCAGCAGAGTAATGAAATGTCTGCGAGCGAACCAACCACAGCAGAGGCAGAGAACGTCTACAAATCTGAAGATATTGTCAAGGAAGGGTTATCAGCATTCATCCATAGTAATCCTGTATAAATGTTTAACAATGAATACACCTCATGATTATTGACTATTTGTTGGTTTTTAATGAAACATTGATAATACCCAAAACACTCATAAGTGATATTCTCTGAAGGTTACTTTAAGGTCATCAAGGTATAGCAAAATATAGACCAAAAAACCAAAAGTTAGTTTGGTGGCCAGTGCTCCGAGAAGTAAAGCTGATGATCACAGATGACTTGTATATTTGGCCAAATGGAACAATTTTCTATTTATGAAGTCAATGATATTGGGATATGGCATTCACAGCATCAGTTGTCTAGTCTATAGTATCCCACATCCAGGGAAGCCAATCATGTTGGTAAAGACTAGTACAACACTGGCCCTCATCATTTGAAAATAAAATAAACTGATCTGGTCCAAATTGCACCAGGAACAGCTGTGATGCATTTGCAAGTTCAGGACTGAGAAATCCTACTCGGGTGTTCACTGGATCCTCATAAGCAGCTACTTGAAAAAACATTCAGCGCAACATCAGTTGGATGGTGACTCACCCATTCAGTTTGCAACTCTGACTCCAGCAGATGACACAATCTATTATGTGTCCTAGGACATCCTCAATCTGTGGCAGCATTGCATCCCCTTATCTAAAGGGGATGATATAGAGGACAACAGACTTGAGGCCTCTTATTCCTCCTTCATATCCTAACGGTATCTTTGTGACGTGACTTCTTCATGTGAAAGTTGTTCAGCAGCTGTTGGAGGTTGGTATTGATCCTGGGGTTGTTAACACGTGTTCCTTTTCTATTCTTCTGTGCCTTCATTTTACAGAGGCCACATTAACAATAATACTGATCCATTGGTCATTGTTGCAACAAATCTATCTGGGGAATATCAGAAACAGAACGGTTCATTCGTAATGCGAGCAATCAGCATTCACAGCACGCATAGATGACAGTCTACCTTGGTCCTCAAAACAGTGGGACATGAAGATTCAGACAAGGATGGCCATGGAATGCCTCTACATGGACCTTTGACATTATGGAATTCATTCAGATATACGCAACACAGCAATATCACACAAATATAAACAAGTGATGCAAGACAGTGGCATAGGACTCCTCATTGGAGCTTGTCTGCTCCGCCCATTTCTTTTCTCTTTTCTCCCCCTTTATATTTCTCTTTTGTGTTTTCTCCCCTTCTTTCTTCTTAGCGATGTCCTGAATTTCCAGCCTCAGAGTGGACTCGTAATCCCAGTCTCAGCATGGCGATCTCTCAAATTTAGTACAGATTTCCTACCAGCGAATCAGGTGACAGCCTCCCTGTGATGTCACTCAGCTTTTTCCTTACAGCTACAATGTGCCCCGAGTAACGGTAGGTTTGCACTCACTCTGCTGCTGCTGTTGTTGTTTTGGTCTTCACAGTGGCTTTTCTTTTGTTGGTTAGAGGAGGGAGGGAAACACTGAAGTAGTGTTTGGGGTCTAACTATTCCTTGACAACACTTCCTCCACAAACCTGTTTGGTAGTGATGACTGCAACGATGCAAATCTTTGCCCCAACCACCAATCAGGCCATGCACTCAGTTCCTGCGTGGACAAGCTGGTGGGGGTATTTGCAAACATCTTTAACCTCTCCTTAAGTTCCACCTGCTTCAAGAAGACCATTATCATCCTGGAGCCAAAGAAAAATCAGGCAACCTGCCTTAGTGACTACCACCAATCATTAAGAAGTGTTTCGAAAGATTACTGATGGCACACATCAACTCCAGCATCCCAGATTGTGTTGATCCACTACAATTCGCCTACCATCACAATGGGTCCAGAGGATTCCATAATCCCTGGCCCTACACTCACCCCTGGAACATCTGAATAACAAAGACACCAAAGTCAGACTCTTATTTACTGACTTCAATGCCATAATTCCCATAAAACACACCTCCAAACTCTGAGACTCTTAGGACTGTGCTCCCCCGCTCTGCAATTGGATCCTTGACTTCCTGACTCCCAGACTGCAAACAGTAAACACACATGACAACACATCCTCCACAATAATCCTCAACACCAGTGCCCCACAATATTGCGTACTTAACCTCTTACTATATCCCTTGTACAACCATGACTGTGTGGCTAAATTCAGCTCTAACTCCATTTACAAATTTGCTGATGACACCACCATGGTGGGTTGGATCTTAAAAAAATTATGAGACAGAGTACAGAAAGGAGTCAGAGAGCTTAGTGGGATGGTACAATACATCTCCCTCAATACCAGCAAAATGAAGGAGCTGGTCATCAACGTCAAGAAGCGGAGTGGAGGACATGCCCCTGTCTGCATCAATGGTGCTGAGGTTGAGATGGTTGACAGCTTCAAGTTCCTAGGAGTACATATAATCAGCAATCTGTCCTGGTCCATTCACACCAACGCTACAGTCAAGAGAGAACATCAATGTCTCTACTTCCTCAGAAGGCTAAGGAAACCCGGCATGTCCACAATGACACTTACCAATTTTTACGGATGCACCATAGAAAGCAGCTTATCCGGATGCGTCACGGCTTGGTATGGCAAGACCGCAAGAAATTACAGAGTTGTGAATGCAGCCCAGTCCGTCACATAAACCAGCCTTCCTTCCAATGACTCAGTCTATACTTTCTGTTGCCTCAGAAAAGCAGCCAAAATAATCAAAAACCTCTCCCACCCAAGTTATATTCTCTTCCACCCTCTTCCATTGGGCATGAGATACAAACGTACAAAAACACGTACGAACAGATTCAATAACAGCTTCTTATCTGCTGTTAACAGACTTGTGAATGGACCTCTCATATATTAGAGTTTATCCTTGTCTGCACCTTCTCTGCAGCTGTAACACGATATTCTGCATTCTGTTGTATTACCCTGATGTACTTATACAACGTATTATTTGTCCAGACAGGACACAAAACAATACTTTTCACTATATCTCAGCACATGTGAGTCAAATAAATCAAATCAAATCAATACATGTGTCTCGCATGCAGGATTCTGTGATTATAGATGTCTTTAAATTGTACTGTGTAAGTGCCTGATTAACGCAATTTGCTCTCGAAGGGCCTCACATCACTTGCAATTTGTAAATGGAGTTAGAGCTGAATTTAGCCACACAGTCATGGTTGTATAAGGGATATAGTAAGAGGTTAAGTACTCATTTCCCTGGACGTAAATAAACATTTGATCCAATCACTCTGGGCACAGCACAAGCCAATTTTCATTTCAATTGCCTATCTGCATTTCAGATGAGGATGGGTGGCAACACTGGTAGCACTCGGCACAGAAAATAGGAACAGAAATAGGCCCTTTGACTGTTTGAGCATGCTCCACTATTCAATATGATCATGGCTGATCATTCAACACAGTACTTTGTTTACACTTTTGCCCCATACCCTTTCATCCCTTGAGCCTTAACTGCTATATCCATCTCCTTCACGAAAATAACATTTTGGCCTCAACCGCTCTCTGAGGCAGACAATTTCACAGGGTCACCACTCTCTGGGTGAAGAAATTTCTCTTTATTTTGGTCCTAAATGGTTTACACCATATCCTTAAACTGTGATCCCTTGTTCTGGACTCCCCAGACATAGGATAAATGCAGAAACAATCTGTTAAGAGTCATTTAGGCTTCTGTAAAATACCATCATTCTTCAAAACTCCAGAGTGAATATAGTCTCAACCAATCGAGATTCTCTTCACATATCAGTCCTGTCATTCCAGGAGTGATCTGGTAAACCTTCGTTGTACTCCCTCCATAGCCCAAACATCCATCCTCAGATAAGGAGACCAAAACTGCACACAATACTCCAAGAGTAGCTGCTAGAAGACATTCCTGCTCCTGTACTCAAATCCTCTTGCTATGAAGGCCTTCGCCTGCTGCATCTACATGCTTACTTTCAGCTAGTGGTGTACAAGGACGCCTAGGACTCATTGCACCGCCTACATTTTCTAATCTATCGCTCTTCAGATATGGTATGGAGGTGCCAGTGTTGGACTGGGGCAGACAAGGTCAGAAGTCAAACGACACCTTCATGTAAAAAGAAGCAGAGCTCCGAAAGCTTATGATTTCAAATAAACCTGTTGGACTGTAATCTTTGTCATATGACCTCTGACCTTGCCCGCTCTTCAGATAATAATGTTTTCCTGTTTTTGCCATCAATGTGGATAACCTCACATTTATCCACATTTACCCGCTCACTCAACCTATTGAAACCACTGTGAAACATCTCTTCATCCTCCTCACAGTTCAAATTCCCACCCAGCTATGTATTTCATCTGCAAACTTGGAGATACTACATTTGGTTCCCTCATCTAAATCATTAATACATATTGTGAATACCTGAGATCCAAGTATTGATCACTGCAGTTCCCCACTGTTCACCGGCTGTCACTCATTGAACGACTCATTTATTCCTACATAGCAGCAGAAAAGCTGACGTTTCAGGTCGGGACCCTTCTTCAGAAGTGTTATCTCTGACTCCAACACCAGCAGTTCTTACTATCTCATTTATTCCTACTTTTTGTTTCCTGTCTGCCAGCCAGTTCTCTACCCATGTTAGTACACTAACCCCAATCCCATGCGCTTCTATATGCTAATCTCTTATGAGGGGCCTTATCAAAAGCCTTCTGAAAATTCAAGTAAACTACACCCACTGGTTCCCACTTATCAAATTTACTAGCTACATCCTTGATAGAGTTCAATAATTGGCAAGCATGATTTTCCTTTTGTAAATCCATGCTGACTCTGTCCAATCCTATCACTGTTTTCCAAATGCTCTGCTTTTAAATCTTTGATATTGTGCTCCAGCATTTTCTCTATTACTGACATCACGTTGACCCAACTATTGTTCCCTATTTTCTCAATCTACCTTCTTTTTTAAATATTCAGATTACATTAGCTACCCTCGTCCCAAAGTCTATAGAATCTTGAAAGCTGACCATCAAGGCATCTGCTATTTCTCGGGCAATTTCCTTCAGTACTCTGGGATGTAGACTGTTGGGCCCTGGGAATTTTTCAGCTTTAATCCCAATTTCCTGCCATGTTTTCCCAACATTTTGGGGGCATCGTTTCTGCCTTCCCTTGTCAAGACAGAATGAAAGTATGTATTTAATTAGTCTGCAATTTCTTTGTTGCCAATTAAAACTTACCATATTTCTGATGGTAAGGGACTTAACATTCGTCTTCATTAACCTTTTTCTCTTCATATAGAAGCTTTTACAATCAGTTTGTATGCTCCCTTATTCCTGTACTCTGTTCCCCCCCCACCACCTTAATCAATCCCTTTGCCCTCCTTCACCAAAAACAAAACGGCTTGCAATACTCAGGCATGGTGCTCTTTATGGCCAATTTGTATGTCTCTTCCTTGGATATAATACTATCCCTAATTGACCTTATTAGCCATGGCCAGACCACCTTTCCCATTTTATGTTTATACCAGACAGGAATGAAAAATTGTTGCAGTTCCTCCATGCACTCTTTAAATGTTTGTCATTGCCTATCCACTGTCATCCCTCTAAGAAACACCCCCCAATTCATCATAACCAATTCGCGATTCATACCACTGAAGTTTCCTCTATTAATGTTCAGTGCCCTTGTCGATTATGTCATTCTCTATCTCAAAGAAGAATTCGATCATGTAATCTGGGGAGTGGCCCACGGTCAGTCCTGCAGGTCCAATGTGACCAGTCTGTGAATTAGCAGAAAGACAATTGAGGAGCTGCAAGAGATCAGTCTGTGCTCTGGTTATTCATCAGTAAAGACCATCCTTCTGCATTGCTCAGGGAGTAAGCCACATCAATCATAGGAGGTGTTTTTCTGAAAGTCAAGGACAGTTATCAGATGCCAGTGGAATGTTGGGCAAGTTACCCTCCCCCCCCCCACGCCACCACCCACTGGAGGTGCCTCACATAGCTAGATAGCTGATTATTCCTTTTTAGTTGCTCAAAATCCAGTCTAGGATGGCCTGCTCTCCAATCAGTTCCTCAGCAGAATCAGTCACAGGCTCAGCCAATCAATCTAGGTGACACCACCCCCTTTCCCCACCCCATCCCTGCCAATCCCTCATGTCTCTTTCTTCTTTGCACTACTTGCTTGATCCCATCAGTTCTGAACTTCTACACATTCCCACCCAAAGCTTTAATTTTAGTCTTTGTCTCCTCACCTTATCCCTCAAACCCCAGGCTTGCAGCTTAGTTATGCCAACCATCATGATGCATTGTTCCCCACTGAAGCCAGGGTTGTGGTGACCATGAATGAGCCTCATTCCTGCAGTAACCCATATTCTCCGATGCTCTATCATCTCCCATTCTTACCTGTTTTTACCCCCAATTATAATTATTGTTCCTTCTACATCCTAGCATGCTGCCACCAATCTCCACAATTAATTTCGTTAACGTTCCCAGCATTCCACTGTCACCTGATAACTGTCCTTGACTTTCAGAAAAACACCCCCTATGACTGATGTGGCTTACTCCCTGAACAATGTAGAAGAATGGCCTTGACTGATGAGTAACCAGAGGACAGACTGATATCTTGCAACTCCTCAACTGTCTCCCTGCTAATCAACAGACTGGTCACATTGGACCTGCAGGACTGACAATGACCCACTCCCCAGATTGCACTGATATAGAACCCCTGACCCTGAATACTCCAAGTGTTTAAGTGACCATGTTCAAGCCCCTGGACTAAAATCAGATGATGCTCTTGATAGTCGAAATACTTCCAATTGACCAAGGGCTACTCCCCTTAGATACAGTTCGTTGAAGCACAACCCGTGTGTTTCATACATAAGCTGTTGGCACACCAGCTGTCACAATGACATAGAACAGTGCATACAGAATCATGTCCAACCCTGTAACTGATTGCTGCTGGCAAGTTGCCTGGTTTTGTACCTGCGCTAAAAAGCAAGGCAAGACAGAAGTTATGTCAGGCTGTTAAGTTCTGAATTAGGCAAGGTAAAGTGAAACAGAAATGCTGTGATCAGTGGGGCAGCACAGTGACTCAGTGGTTAGCACTGCTGCCTCACAGCACAAGGGACCTGGGCTCAAACCCAGGCTCGGTGACTATGTGGAGTTTGCACATTCTCCCCATGTCGCATGGGTTTCCTCTGAGTGCTCTGGTTTCCTCCCACATGGTGGATTGACATGCTAAATTGCCCATAGTGTCCAGGGATGTGCAGGCTAGGACGTTAGCCATAGGAAATGCTGGGTCCCAGGGATTGAGGGGGGTGGGTGGGATGTTCTTTGGAGGGGCAGTGTGGACTTGATGGGCCGATTGGTCTGCTTCCACGCTGTAAGGATTTTATGATCTACATGCAATGTGAGTGAGTGTTGAGATAGCTAGCGAAGAACCCCGAGATGCATTTTGTTCCAATACATAAGATAGGTGCCTGCCCCTGTGTAACAAGTCACCTGGCAGCAGCATTGCAATGAAAGGAGTCAGTGACCTCCAAAGTGCAGTATCGAAGTATTAACAGTAATATAAGTAAATCGAGCTAAAGTTAGGCTGGTATGAATCTGCTGGCAAACTCTTTGGAGGAAAATGAGGTAGTCGCTACACATGGGGTGTTCTCAAAGATGTTGAGGGATTCTGGCCAAAATGAGGCAAAATTAGGTGATAACGAGATGCTAATGCATGGAATTAGCCCCTCACATTCACTAGTGAGATTCTCCAGGTGGCCTGCGTTCAAGTCCCACCTGCTCCAAAGGTGTGTAATATCAATGCTGAACAGGTTGATCAGCAAATATATAAATCACGAGCGAGATTTTCGTCTCACCAATAAAATCTTGGGTGGAAAATTCAACTTTTTTTGCCAACACAATGAATTTTGCTTTACCAATTTTGCCATATTTTCCTAACTGACTTGACATTGCCTGCAGGAGCTGGATACTTACCACACAGAGAATCCACTGAAAACTCTACATAGACCCAAAGAATGTACAGTCAAGCAGAGTAAAGGAAGATGGCACCACACCATTAATCTTAGAAGAAAGTCCAAACAAGGGCAGAAAAAGTTACCAAACTGCCACAAAAACTGGGATATTTGAGATTTTCAGGGAATATGGCATTTATTGTAAGTGATGGGAACAAAGAGGCTGTAACCTGACTTTGCAAGCTTGGTGTTGTATTTGGCCCAAGATGTGTTTCCAAACTATCACCAAGGCCAGATGCATCTACTTTTCTAACATAGCATGACATTAACCCACTTTAGCTCATTCCAGATGAAGCTTTCATCCACGCATTTGTTACTTCTAGACATCGCTATTTCAACGCTCACGTGGCAGGCCTCCAATCTTCTCTTCTGCTCCTGTCCTAACTTGCACCATGCCTTGTCCACTCAGCATTCCCATCATCCCTGTTGTTTTATTTGCATTTGGTCCTGGTCCACCAACACATCAATTTTAAATTTCACACCTTCTCTCTATGACTTTGCACTCCTATCACTCCTCCAGAGAATCTTCCGAATCTCTCTTCTCCTACTTCACTAGTTCTGATTTCTTCAACTTCCCTTATTTAATCACCCTACCATTAGCATCTATGCTGTCAATTGCTTAGGCCCTAATACCTAGAATTTGTTCATTGAGGTTTTATGGAGTTTCTATCTCTCTATACTGATTTGAGATGCATCTTAAAACCCAGGACTTTCAGTTAGATTTTGATCATCTCTCCTAATATCTCCATGAGTTAATATCAAATATTGTCTCAAATAATCAAATAATTCTCGCCTGAAGTGCCTTAGGTGTTTTATAATGTAAAAGGCACTAGATAAATACACATCAGCATTGTTCTTGCATGATAAGAAATGTCCACAGTACCTCATTTTCGCAGGCTAGGTCTATCTTAAGGAAATAAGGGAAAGCATAGTAGTGCTGAAAGTAAAAGAAAGCTTGATTAAATTGTGCATGCTACATTACATGAATAGATATTTAATTTTGAAACAAATGCATACACGTTGAGGTACCTACACGTAAGTACACAAAGTTGCAAATTTAACAGAAAATTAGTAGTTCTTTCCCCACAACCTAAATTTTCTTACAGCACTGAATTTAGTTAGAGCCACAGTAAAATCAAAAGGGTAATGATCATGTGTTGAAGCTGGAAGATGGCAATATGAAACAAAATATCCATTCTTATGGAGATTTTCCATTCTAGTAGATAATAACTGGGTAAGTCTGCATTACATATTTTAATATGGACAATATTTAAGGGGACAAAAAAAAATCAGGAAGAAGTAGGCCATTCAGCCCCAGTAGACCATTGCTGGTTTATTGCATTTCAAATTCTAAATTTCTATCTAATCCCAACACCTTTGATTGCTTTGCCTTACAAGAATCTATCTACCTCCACCATAAAAATATCAAATGACCGCTGCCTCCAATGCCTTCTGAAATAGGGAGTCCCAAAGTCTCACAACTCTCCAAAGCACAAAAAATTCGCAACTCTCAAAGGGTGACCCCTGATTTTTAAACACTATTCCCAATTCTGGATTCACCAATAAGAGGAAACAGCTTTTCATGTCCATCTCACTTAAACAATTCAAGATCTTGAATATTTCAAACAAGTCGTCATTTATTCTTCTAAACTCCAGGACAATGAAGCCCAGTCTGTCCAGCCATTCCTCATCAGACAACTTTCTCATTCCAGATATCAATCTGTAAACATCCTCGGAACCAGCTCCAACACATCTGCAACCTTCCTTAAATAAGGAGGTAGTGGTGAAATGTGAATCCAATCAATAAAGAAATGTGGAATTAAAAGTTAGCTTAAAAGAGACCATAAAAATATCGTTGCATTAGCCCACATCGTTCACGAATGGCCTTTACTAGATTGCTGTCCTTCCTTCTACCCTTTAGGGAAAGAATTCTGCCATCCTTACCTGCTCCTGCCTACAGCTGACTCCAGACTCCACTAATGTGGTTGATCCTTAATGGCCTAACAAAGCATCAGCTGTATCAACCAGTATAAAGTTTCAAGAAAGATACAGAACCAGATGGAATACCTATCATCAACCTAGGCACCGAAAATGACAACGCAAACTCAACCTTGCTGAACACCGCAAAGATTTCCTTACTAAAATTTGGGGCCTTGTTCCAAAATTGGGAGAATTATCTCATAGATTTATCAAGAAACAGCCTGACAAACTTAGACTCACAAAATCACAACTTACAGACACCACCAACACCATCTCTGGACATGTCTCATATCACCAACTAGACAGACCCACCAATGGAGGTGGCACAATTAGGAGGAAGTTGCTCTGAAAGTCATTAACATTGACTACAGACCTCCTGAAATCTTATAGCATCAAGGAAACTTCCTGATGGCCATGTATCATCCACTCACCACTGCCCCACCCACCTTTGAAAGATGAATCAGTACTTGTTGAACACCATTTGGAGGAAACAGTGAGGTTGGCAAGGGCACAGAATGTATTCTGGGTTGGGGACTTCAATGGTCATCAGCAGGTACAGCCCAGTAGTATCACTACCAACCAAACCAGCCAAGTGCTCAAGGACACAGATTTTAGACTGGATCTGCAGCAGCTTGAGGGAACCAAGCAGAGGGAAAAAGTTACATGGCCCCATCCTTAACTGATGCAGATGAATCTGGCAATGACAGTCCTAATAGGAGTGATAATGATACAGTCCTTGTGGAGGCACAGTCCTGTCTTCCATGGTGTTCTGTTCACTACCACCACTCTAAATGGGATAGATTTCCAACAGTTCTAGCAACTGAAAACAGAGCATCGATGAGGCACTGGGTTTAATCGGCAAATCAAGACTGTGTCCAACCACAATATGTAACCTCATAGCCCAGAATATCCCCTTTCTAACATGACCATCAAGCTGGGCAATCAACCTTGGTTCAATGAAAACTGCAGGAGGGCAAAATAGGAGCAGCAATATGTGTATCTAAAAACGAGGTATCAACCTGGTTAAGCTACAGGACAGAACTACTTGCATGCCAAGCAGTGTAAGCAGCATGTAATAAAAAGAGTCAAATGACCCACAAACAACAGATCAGATCTAAGCTCTGCAGTCCTGGCACATCTAGTCATGAATGGTTGGAGACAATTAAACAACTCACTAGAGGAGGAGGAAGCTCTGCACATATCTCTGTTGTCAATAATGGAGGTGAATATCACATCAGCACAAATGACAAAGCTAAAGTATTTGAATCCAACTTCAGTCAGGAGTGCTGAGTGGATGATCTACCTTAGCTACCTCGAGGTCGCCAACATCATGGATGCCAATCTTCACACAATTCGATCTACGATTAAGTAATGGAACAGCTTATCGACAGTGCTATCAAATGGTATTTGCTCAACAGTAAACTGCTGCCGCTCAGTTTGGATTCGACAGGGCAACTTAGTTCCTGAATTTATTACAGCCTTCGTTCAAACATGGACAAAAGAGGTGAACTCCAGGGGTGAGGTGAGATTGATGGCCATTGACATCAAGGCTATATTTGACTGAGTATGGCATCAAGTAGCCTTAGCAAGATTGGAATCAATGGGAAGTGGTGGTGGTGGTGGTGGAGAGACTCTCCACTGGTTGGAATCATGCCAAACACAAAGGAAGATGACTGTGCTTGTTTGAGGCCAATCATCTCTGGTCCCAGAACCTCACTGCAGGTGTTCATTAAGATAGCATCCTAGGACCAAACATTTTCAGCTGCTTCATGAAATACTTTTCTCCATCATAAAGTAAGAAGCAAGGATGGTTGCACAAGTTTTAGCACCATTCACCATTCTTCAGATTCAGCAGGACCTGGAAAACATCCAGACTTGGGCTGATGGATGGAAAGTAACATTTACTCAGTTGCATAAGTTCCAGCCAATGGCTATCTCCAAGAAGAGAGAATCTAACTATCACTGAATTCCACACTTCTGGCAGAAGAGTGAGGGGCGACTTGATTGAAGTCTTGAAGGTCCTAAATGGTCTTGACAAGGTAAATATGTGAAGAATGCGTTCTTTCTTGGGTGAATCCAGCAGTAGAATGCACTGGTGTGAAGTTAAGGATGGTTCTTTTATGACAGAGAGTCATAGATTCATACAGCATGGAAACAGACCCTTTGGTCCAACTCATCCATGCCAATCATAACTCCAAACTAAACTAGTCCCATTTTCCTGCATTTGGCCCATATCCCTCTAAACCTCTCTTATTCATGTGCCTGTCCAAATGTCTCTCACCACATCTACATCTACCATTTCATCTGGCAGTTCACTCCACATAAGAACTATCCTCTGTGTGAAAAAGTAAACCCTCAGGTCCCTTTTAAATCTTTCTCTTCTCACCTTAAAGATATGCGTTCTGATATTGAACTCCCCTACCCTAGGGAAAAGACTTTTGCTATTCACCTTATCTATACCCATCATGATTGTATAAATCTTTATATGGTCACCCCTCAACCTTTTGTGTTCCAGTGAGAAATGTCCCAGCCTATCCAACCAATTGTTATAACTCAAATCTCCCAGCCGCAGCAACATCCTTGTAAACCTTTTCTGAACCCTCTCCAATTCAATAATATTCTTCCTATATCAGGGAGATCATAACTGTACATAGTACTCCAAAAACGGCCTTACCAACGTCCTGTACAACCTCAACATGGCATCCCAACTCCTATACTCAATTGTCTGAGCAATGAAGGCAAGCGTGCTAAATACCTTCTTTACGGCCCTGTATACCTGTGACACAACTTTCAAAGAACAATGTACCTGAACGCCTAGGTCACTCTGTTTGATAACACTACCCAGAGCCCTACCATTAACTGCTTAAGTCCTGCCCTTGTTCATTTTACCAAAATGCAACACTTCGCATTTATCTAAATTAAACTCCATCTGCCATTCCTCAGCCCATTGGTCCAATTGATCAAGATCCCTTTGTAATCTTAGATAATCTTTTTCACTGTCCACTATACCACCAATTTTGGTGTCATCCGCAGACTTACTAACTATGCCTCCTAAATTCTCACATGAATTGTTTATCTAAATGACAAACAACAACGGATCCAGCACTGATCCCTACGAAACACTGCTGGTCACAGGCCTCTAGTCCAAAAAACATTCCTCCACTGCCATCCTCTGTCTCTTTCTGTCAAGCCAATTTTGTAACCACTTGGCAAGCTCTCCCCGAATCCCATGTGCTCTAACTTTACTAACCAGTCTACTATGCGGAGGAGAATTATTGTGTTTCAGAGAACACTCTGCCTCCAACAGTGCTGGAATTGGGGCCATTGGATAGTTTTAAGTCAGAAGTAGATTGATTCCCTCGACTTATAAGAATCTAAGATTATTGGTGGGTAAGTAGGAATATGGAATTTGAAACAAAACCTGATCTTACTGAATGGTAGAGCAGGCGAGAAGGGCCTACTTCTGCTCCTATTTTATACGTTTGTGTACTTGTACGTCTAAATATCTTATTAAAACCAACTGTTCTGATTACTTATAAAATTGAGATTGCGTGAAGCTCTAAACCTATGTGTAACGATTCAGGCTATGATCATTTCTATAGAAGGATGTGTTAAAGAAACATTAAAGTGTTCTATTTGCATTCCTTTTTAAGAAATATCATAAATGAATGGATTATTAAAATGCAAATAAGTATTGAAATTGTTTCACCAAAGGAATACAATAAGCAATCTGTTAACCTTACTCCACACCTCTTCTCCATTCTACTTGTCACATATGCAAAGAAATCTAAGATTCTTTTAAACAAGATTTTCTGTTTATACAATCCACCTCCTTTGCTCAATGTCATGATTTAAGTGTTTTGTTACTATATTCCAGATAAAGGATTCTGATAAAGGATTTTGATTTTTACTGATGTTGGACTATAAAAATGTTACAATTTATTTTCACAGAATGTTCTAGAAAAACTCAGGTCTATCAGCAAGAAGAGTTATACTGTACTGGTAACGTTAACTCAGTTACTCTATCTTAAGATAGCGTCATAGAGACGTACAGCACAGAAACAGACCCTTCAGTCCAACTCGTCCATGCCAACCAGATATCCTACATTAATCTAGTCCCATTTGCCAGCATTTGGCCCATCTCACTCTAAACCTTTTCTGTTCATATGCCCATCCAGATTCCATTTAAATAGTGTAATTGTACCAGCCTTGACCACTTCCTCTGGCAGCTCATTCTATACACACACCACCCTCTGCATGAAAAAGGTGCCCCTTAGGTCCCTTTTAAATCTTTCCCCTCTCACCTTAAACTTATGGCCTATGGTTTTGGACTCCCCCGCCCCAGGGAAAAGAGATATGTAGCCTGTTTGGCAGCATTTGCTGATACTGCTGCATCTGCAGTATTTTCCTTTCATTTTACATTTTATTTGCATCATTCTATTTAAATACATAGGTCTATAATCCTCCATTTTCTCTCCTCCTCCTTTCTTTAATAGTGGAGTTACATTTGCTAACTTCCAATACTTTGGACATATTCTATAATCTCGGAAATTCTGGAAGATTAAAACCAATACAACCACTATGTCTGCAGCTTCCTCTTATCCTGAGATGTAAGTAGTCAGGTTCAATGAATTCATTGCCATTTGGTCATATTAATTTCTCCAGTGCCATTTTTTCACTTACAGTTATTTCTTTAAAACCCTTGGTTCATCATTATTTCTGGAATTTTTAATGTCTACTACAATGAAGCTATTATGATCCCACTTGATGGTACTATTGGACAAATCATATCTTGCAATGAAATCTGACCTGATAGATTTTTTTCTTTTGGTTAAGATGGTGACCACTGACTAAAATGGTCTCATAGAGTCACAGAATTTCTTTAGCAACAGTACAAAAGTTTATCACACAAGATGAAAACAAAACAAAAACAAAATTATACAGATATAGAATAAATAGGAAAAAATCTTGAAACACCCAGCAAAACATATGCAATCTATTCCCAACACCATGCTACGGTGATTCAAATCCAGAGAAATTTACACTCTATATCAGATCTAAGTTCAACATAACTGATTCTCCCCAGTTTTCTCCTATGAACTGTGAAGTCTTCTTACATGAATACTTACAGGACTGAGAGCTTAGGCTTTCTCAGCTTTTAATAACCTGTAAACATCTAACCAAACACTCCTGGTTTGGAAGTTTTACAAACTAAACTTCTCTACTGAAGTAACTGTGCTTTTCCTGAACTGTCCTTCACTCTGGTCTGGACGATAAACTATGTTTGCTTCTGATCCCAGTCAGGTTTCCTCAGAACTCTTCTCGAAGCTTTCAATCTCTGGATTTTCTAAGCTAATATCAGTCATTTAATATTTTGAACCAAAAACAAGCTGATGACTTTCAATGACTACACTCCCCATCGTAAACCATTTTCCATTTACATGCCAAGGTCCCTGCTTTCTGACATGTATTAGATGAGGTCACTGTTCTGGAAGAACTATCTGACTTAGTTCTTTTAAAACCTTTAACCCAAAAATCCAAATCTCTAAAATGTATTCAGAAATCACACACCTTTTATCATAAAGTACTTGTTTAATATATGTGTCATTCCCTTATCTGCAAATATAGCTTCTATCTCTGCTTTTATGAGGCCCAAATTTACTTTTAGCAATCTTTAACATTAATCTCTACAACTAACTGCTAACTCTTTGCATACTGACAGGAAGAATAAAGTGTGACATGGGCTATTTGCATATGGCTTTCTGATTACAAACTTTACTTAGTGGGTATCAAAGACAATACTAATTGTCTATCCTGATATAAGCAATAGCCATTAAAATTTAAAATGAAACAATGCTACAGAAAGTAAGGCTTGTTAATAGGAAACGCATGCCATATGTGAATTTTTGATTCATTTACAGACATATTTCCATTCATTCTGAGCAATGGCATATAACTCACTTACCTCAAGTCTTTCAAAAGGATCAATACCTTGGTCAGATAAATTCTGAAACACGAAATCAAGGTTGGCACTAGGAGTTTGCTGAAGGATAGTTTCCGAGAATTGATTGTGATCTGTAAATTTAATCAGTCTTATGTGCCATTCACATTTGAAGGCTAGACATACTGGCCAAAAGAGAAGCCCGGGAAATTTAAGCATAATCGCAGAGACGAAGTAGACTGATTAGTCTAGATCCTGTAATTAAACAGAAATTTAAAAGATATTGAAATGCAGAAAGTGAATAACTGACAACCATAATCTCTGCAAAGTGCTTTGTGGAGTTTTGGAAATCACATAAATCACTCAATTGATTCAATAAATAGGACATTCTTAGAAAGGCAAATGCATCTGTAAAGAAAAAAATCTGTTAAATGTTCACAACACATATTCAGTTCTGAAATAAGTATTTTAAACATTCAAATTAATATTCTATCTTTGTGACAGTTTGAGTCAGTTATCACTTTTACCTCAGAATCTGAAGGACGTAGGTTTAAGTGCTAAGGTCCTGCTGACAGTTCCTTGCATGGTGTGAACTAGAATACTATTACCGCACATTTGTTGTTATAGTTGGATTTGTCTGATATCACAGCTTAATTTAATGATGATTTTCCTTCCAATTATAACAAGTTTCAAGCAGTCTCCACGGACAGAAACAATTTAATGAGCTCTACTATCAAATTTTGATCCCTAGAGGTCAATCATTGTGAATCAATAAACGTGGAGCTGGAAAAGCATAGCAGTCAGACAGCATCTGAGGAGCAGGAAAGTCAACATTTCGGACCGAAACCCTTCATCAGGACTCATGAAGGGTTTCGGCCCAAAACGTTGACTTTCCTGCTCCTCGGATGCTGTCTGATTGGCTGTGCTTTTCCAGCTCCACATTTATTGACTCTAGCTTCCAGCATCAGCCGTCCTTACTGTGTCCAAATCATTGTGAATATCTGGTTCTATGAATGATTGTGATACAGCAGGCTGGCAAAAGCAATACCACAGTTGTTAGCAGGTTGCTGCACATTTGCTTAAATTATTTTATTCTCACAAACCAATACAAACAATATATTAATGCAAAAAAAAAATTCCATTTATATGAGACACAAAGTTGATTCTGGGGACCTGACAGCAAACTGTCATCAATTGGAAAGGCAGAGGTGTGCTAGAGAGCTGGGTCTGAAAGAAGTTGAATGGAAGACTGGTAAAGCAAGTGCGATGAGAAATTCAGTACAGGGCAAAGGTATTTTGTGGTCACAGACGTTAACGAAACATGTTGTATTGTCTCCATAGCATTAGAGTCAAGAACCTCAGTGCAACTAAAGAGCATGCTGGGTGGGGCATCAATGCCAGAGGGCATGGTCCACATCAGCATCTACACCACCTTGAAGATAGCAATCTCTGGTTTACTTTCAGTCACATGAAAGAGTACAGAAACAGCAGAGTAGAGTGGGTAAACGTGTGGCAGGAGAAATGGAGCAGATGGAAGGCCCTAGATTCCAGAAACGTTGAGAGCAGATCTGAGAGTGATGTGGCCTGTACAGTCCAAATGAATCGCACCCAAATAGAGCCTGGACCAGTGGTCAGAATGTATTGCACAATACAATAAATGCAGTGATGAGCTACTTCAGGTGCAACTAACTCCCTGTATCTATGAGCAAGAAATTTCACCATTATCAAACTTCAATCAGATATTTAAAAGCTGGCCAGCAAATTTCTCGCTGAATCACAAGCCTCAATATTGAGATTCTACCTCAACAAAAGCTGCCAGTCAACCAGGGAAAAGCTGCATCTGGGACCTAGATGCCCAAATATTTAGGGATCAAACAGACAGGAGGTAGGCCAGTCTCCTTGCAGGTTGATTTACTAGTACTATTAGGAAGTGTTTAAACAAACTTTGCTGAGTTATCAGAATCAGCAGGGTAATATTAGAAAGGAACACCAAAAATATTGAGAGACACAGATTGCACTAGAATAGGAGTGAAGTAGTGGAGGTACACCCCCAGTGCCGTTACGTTGAGAGTTCAAGGATTGGCCCGTTAACAGTGAAGGAAAAACTTGGCCAAAACAATGTGGGAAAATGTGAGCTTATACATTTTAGCAGAAAGAATAAAGGAGCTGAATATTATTTAAAATAGAGAAAGGCTGCAGAACTCTGTAGCATATAATGATTTGAGCATCCTCATTTATGTATCACAAAAAGCTAGCAAACAGATCAACAGATAATAAATTTCAAACATTTGTTGAAATAAATGTTGGCCTTTATTTCAAAGGGAATGGAATATTAAAAAAGGGATGTCATAACTAAAACTATACGTATCAGACAACACCTACAATATTGCTATCTGTTCTGGTCCCATTATTTAAGGAAAGATACACTGGTATTGGTGGCAGTCCAGAAAAGATTCACTAAGTTGATTCCAGGTATGGAGGGATTTTCATATAAGGAGAGATTGAGAGGCTAGGATTGTTTTCGCTGGAGTTTAGAAGATTGACAGGCAACCTTACTGAAAAATCAAGATTTATAGGAGCCTTAATGGGGGAGATGTAAAAGTCTGTTTCCCCATGTTGTGAAAGAATCTAATTCAGAGGTAGTAATCTCAGAGTAAGGGGTTACTCATTTAGAACTGGAGTCTGTTTTTCCCTCTGAGGACAAAGAATCTGTGCATTCTTTAGGATAGAGTACTGCAGAGGTTGAATTATTCAGTATATTCAAAGCTGAAACAGAAAGATTTTTGACCAGTAGGGAATACAAGGGATATAGGTTACAGGTAGGAAAGTGGAGTTGAGTATTATCAGTCATCCACGATCTCTTCCAATGGCAGGCTAACTCGATGGGCTGAATAGCCTACTTGTGCTTCTTTCGGCACTTTGGTGTCGAGCGTGGAAGCATTATGCTGCTCAAGCAAGTACTCCGTGGCTCGGAGTCACTGCGGGAACCGTGGACAGTAGCTCAAACTGGAACTTTTACAGGCCTTCCCTTTGTACTGACGGATAAATCCGATTTTATTTCAAGATCTAAAACAAACCTTACCTACCCCATACCTTCTTCGCCCGCGCAACCGCCACCTCAACATTAACTGCCGTATCCTCGAGCACCTGGCACGTGAGCAACCGCCCACAGCCTTTGCGTGGAGGCGCGCGCTTTTTTTTGTTCCCTTCCAGTCCATCGGCGGTGAGATGTGAGGTGATGGAATTCATAAGCCGACTTGTTTGGTGTGCTTTTTTTATTCGATATTTGAGTTGTGTTAATTGTAACGTTGTTATACCAGGTCTGAATTGCAGTGTCGTCCCGGATCGAGAGGGGGAAAAAAGTCTCATAGAATCTCCCGAATAAAAACCGAAAGAACTGCGGATGCTGCAAATCAGGAACAAAAACAGAAGTTGCTGGAAAAGCTCAGCAGGTCTGGCAGCATCTGTGCAGAAAAGAAAATACCAGAGGTCCTAATATATCCTGATTATAAGCCGACGTTTACCCAGCTACTATCAGTTCTGAGGTAGGGTCAGCGGACCCGAAACGTTAACTCTGATTTCTTTTTTCTTCACAGATGCTGCCAGACCTGCTGAGCTTTTCCAGCAACTTCTGTTTTTGCTCATAGAATCTCCCTACAGTGCGTGAACGCAGGCCATTCGGCCCGCAGAGTTACGTCGGCTCTTCCAAGAGCATCCCACCCAGACCCACCGCCTCTATCCCATCCCTGCATTTCCCATGGCCAATCCACCTAGTCTGCACATCTTTCAGCACTGGGATACCCAGAGGCAACCCACGCAGACAATTTGCAAACTCCATACAGACCAGTTGCCTGAGGGTGGAATCATACCCGGGTCCCTGGCTCTGTTAGGCAGCAGTGCTAACCACTGAGCCACCCGTGCCTTCTGATTACTCTATGCCCGAGAAAGTTTTTGACAGACTTGAATTTATGTAGCGCCTGTCAGAACCTTAACAGTCAATTCTGATCTGTAGCCACTGTCGTAAAATAGGGAACGCAGCAGCCAATTTGCACACAGCAAGCTCTTACCAACGGCAATGTGAGAAAGACCACGTAATCAGTTTTTTTTTAATTTCTTTCAATTCATACATGGGTATCAATGGCTAGATCTGCACTTATTGCGGATCGCTGTGGTGAGTTGCTGTCTTGAATTGCTGCAGTCCTTGCAGTGAGAGAGGGAATTCCAGAAATTTGACCCAGTGACAGTGAAGGAACGACAAGTCAGAATGTTGTGTGGCTTGGAGAGGAGCTAGCCGATTGTAGTGGTGGACACTGAGGATAACATCCCTTATTTTTGAAATAATTGCATGATATCTTTTATATTCACACATGAATATGCAGGTGAGTTTCAATTTGAAAACATGAATCAAATGACTCCCCTAATCCAGGGATTCTCAAACCTCTACTATTTCAAGCCTGCAAAACTGGCGACTCCTTAGTGAGAACCATAGAATGGAGGCAGAGCAGGGGAACCTGTTGTAAAGGGAGCATTTGTGGAACAGGGAGAATTATAAACAGATTTAATTTTCTTTAAACTTGAAAAAGCTCCCAAGTTTCAGTTCATGATGCCATCTAGAGTCACAACCCCACTTTCCAAAGTCTTGCCATAACCTTCCAAATTACAGGTAATAAGCTACATTGTTTGCTTCTTTCCAGGACCTAGTGGTTCCCTCAGAAAAATAAGCAGTGGCCTGTAAATTGCATCCCAAGTTCAATTCATTGCTTAGGGAGATGTAATTGGCTCAAGGGTTTGTTACTTTCTTTAACAAGTATCTTTTCCATACTGTTTAAACATAATTTAAAAATTTGGAGCAATTTCTTGAATAGTTCCAAAAATGGAATTCTAGTTTTATCTTTCACTGTTCTTACAATCTCATCTTTAAAATAGCGGTGAAAATGCCAATTTGTCAAATTTATAGATAATAAGGTGTAGAGCTGATGAACACAGCAGGCCAAGCAGCATCAGAGGAGCAGGAAAGCTGACATTTCGGGTCTGGACCCTTCTTCAGAAAATCAAATTTATAGTTCTGTTTGTCTATCAGAAATATATCAATTGTTAATGCTAGAAGTTGGTGTTTTAGCAAACCTGTTGCGTTATTAATATGGATAAACTTGTATGTCTGCTATATATTTTGATTTACATTCATTTAAACTGTACCTCTCAGCGTTTGCATCTGCTGACGTCCTCAGCTCTCAATATCCCCCTTCAGCTCAC